GCCATAGTTATTATACTTGGGATTGTGAGGATGTTATGAGGGGAATGGTTTGAACGAGCCTCTGCTCTCCCCATGCCAGCCTGGTTTCCCTCTGCCTGGCTCTGCAGCTCTCTGCACTGGCTGTTGGGGTGTACCTCCTGCATGCGGATGAGGAAGGAGTCGATGAAGTCCCGCGGGGAGTTGGGATCTAGCGTGCGTTGGTTCTGCTCCACCTTCTTGGCTATGAAGTCCTCCAGACCTTTCAGATCCTTAAATGCCTGTTGCTGTGGTCCTGGCAGGTGTTTCATCACTGAATAAAACATCTCATAGAGCTGAGGATGGGGAGAGAAGAAAGGACGGGAAGGACAGCTGTCAGCAGGCAGGTCTTGATAGGAGTGGAACCTTTCTCATGGCAAGGAAAGCACTGAATTAAAGACCCCCATCCAGATGTTAAGGATTTATATGGGACTGATGGGAGGAGATATCTAAGTTTTCACATGAGTTAAGTGTGAGAACCCCTATCCCAGCATGTTGGTGAGATGGTTTGGGACACATCCAGATATTCAGGTGAGGTTGCATTGGGAAACTCCTGTCCAGGTGTTTACCTATTTATTTCTGACTGATATGAGGGGGAGGTAGGTACCTGTTTAGGTCTCTAGACATCAAGTAGGCTCAGTTGGAGACAACTATCCAGATATTTAGAGGCTATGGAATAGTGATTTCTATGCAGGTATTGAGGTATTAAAGTGTGGCAGGTATGCAAGTGTTGAGGTGGGGGAAATACCTGTTCATGTGTTTCAAATATTTACACTGGGCTGGAGGGGAGCACTGCTGTAAGTGTTTGAGTGAGCTGCATTGAGGAACATAATTTGGGTGTTTGGGGAACCATCTATCCAGATGTTTACATGTTTAGAGGCCTTCTTGGTTGGCGTATCTGTCCAGATGTTCAGATATTTCAGTGGGCTATGAAGAAGTACTTATCTAGGTAGCCCAGTAGGCTGGTTTGGGACACCTGTGTAAATCTCAAATGATTTTGGCAGACTGTATTTTATAGCACCAGGTGTTCATGTATTCAGGACATGGACGGAGGTGGTCACTTGTTCAGCTGTTAAGATATTAAGATGAAAAGATGGAATGTCTTGACAGGGAGCCAGTTCTAGATATTAAGATAGGTAGGGTGGGGGCACATGCCAAGAAGGAAGGCTGGGCTTATAACAGCTGTCATGCCTGCAGGCTGTTTTTTGTATGTTTGGTTTGGGTTTTGGGTTTTTTGGTGGGAAAAACATCTGTTGAGATATTCAGGTGTCCTTGGAAACGGGGTATTCTGGTGTAGCTGTTCCATTGTCCAAGAGTGGTTTTGATGGAACCCTATCTGGGAGAGGAAGGGAGTTTGGGGCACCTGTCTTATGTGAGGAAGCAATTGGAGGGTTGTAGTAGGGTGTTGTAGAGACAGACTGGGACGGGTTACCTGACCCATAGATGTAGCTGTGAACTGGAAGCTTCCCAGCATCATACGCAGCAGTGACAGGAACTCTTTGTTCTCATAGTCAAAGCGGTCCCCAAAGACAATGGAGCTGATGACATTGGACGCTGTCCGGCTCAGGAAGAAGGTGGGATCGATGAAGGTGCCTAGGGAGTGGGATGGGGTTGAGGAGAAACAGGGATCTGGGGGAGCATCCACTAGGCAGTCTGACACCAGGTCAAGAATTGGAGAAAAGCACCAGGGTGATGAGACAAGCTCCCAGCACAAGGCCTTAGAGCCAGGAGCCTGGACTCCTTCCCCCAGTCCAGTCAGTCCCCTTCCAGGACCAGAAAGCGCACATATCCACATGAGTGCTCCTGCTCCTTCTCCCTCATTCCCTCCTGGCTCACCATGTGTGCCCCGGAGGGCCTCGATGAGGAAGCCCACTTCCTCCTGGATGCGCTCTTCGATGCCACGCTTGCCCACACCAAAGTCCCGCAGCGTGGTGATGGAGAAGCGCCGGAGCTGCTTGGCTCGCTCGCCATTGCTGAACGCCACACCTGGGGGGGGGGAGGGGGGCAACCGTGGGAGACAGAGATTCAACTCAAGGTCAGAGACATACTGAAAGAGATGGCGACCTAGTTGGAAGAAAAGAATCGGAAGGAGAGAGGCAAGTCAGATGCCCAGAGAAACAGAGATTTGGAGACACATAAAGACAGAGAAAGAAGTAAGGGAGGGCCAGAGGGAGGTGACATCTGTGGATATCTGAGAGGTGGCAATAAAAATCCTGAAGGATCCTAACACTGAGCTGGGGAAAGAAGAAAATAGGGAGAGAGAACAAAGAAGGTCGGGAGAGAGGAAAGACTGTTTCCAGAGACAGAGGCATGGGGTGTGAAGCAGAAACAGGGTGAGATTCTGACACAGAAGAGGAAAAGAGTAGAGGGAGGATGAAGGGAGGGGAAGCACAGAAGCTTAGAGGGAGAAAAAGACAAGGACGTGGAGGTGGACTGACCACAGTTCTGAGGCGGAAATCCCCAGAGCTCTTCAAAGACACACAGAAAGAAGAGGCATATCTGAGAGAGAACAGGGACATGGGGCCAAGAAGCAGGGGAAATAGAGACGCAGGCACTCAGGGTCAAGTTAGAGAAGACCAGGGAGAAGGGACAATTAGCAGGGACAGGGACAGAGGGGAGCAGGGGGAGAACTCGGCCTCAGCCTTGGGTGGGAGGGTGAGTCAAGAGGACAGTGGGGAAACTGAGGCCATCGAGTGTTCCTGACCACATGCCCCCATCCGGAGCCCCTCACCATAGCCTTTGAAGAGCCAGTCGAAGGTGGCCT